ACACACACACACACACACACACACACACACACACACACACACACACAGGAGGGGTGATGAGGATAGTAGAGAAGGAATTAGAACTTCTGATTCTATATGGGTGGAGGGGAGTCTGCGTGGGAGGAGCCTTCCTGCTCAGAGTCTGAACAATCATATCACCAAGTCCAGAGGCAAGGAACAGTGTGGCTAGGCCTTTGCCACTTCAGTCCCAGGATCCTCACTCTACTGGCTTCTCCTGGCTCCTTAGTTCTCCTCATCTTCTCTAATGTGTCCGAATTTTCTCAGTCTCCTAATCCTAAGCTCCACTCTCTCATGTCTTTACAACGTGCTGCTTCTTCTCAAATGGCTCTCACAGTAGTATCTCCCTAGCCTGTTCCATCTGCTTTCTCCCCAGTGCTCCTCCCCACCTTTCTACCCTCCTCCACTGGCCCTTGATTGCCCCAGCTGCCCATTAAGGAATGATGTTGATGCCTCTCTGCCTTATTCTTCAACTGAAGTCAGTGGTCAAATCCTAGGGGTTTTCCCTTCTGTACGTGTATAGAGCTATAGAATCATCCACCGCTTGATGGTTCAACTTCCATCAATTCCAGCATGGCCTTATTCAAATATCTCTCATGGTCACTTCTGTGCTGTCCCCCTCCCAATGGCCCCTCTTGATTCAGTGAAGTAATAATTATTATTAGTAGGAGTAGTAGCAATATGCAAAAATCTCACTAGGTAGTACAGGCTAGGCAGGCCCTCTTATGTTGACCAGGGTGGCCTTACATTTTGTGGTGATCCTTCTGCCTCTGCATTCTAAATGCTAGGATTATAGGGGTGTATACCATGTCAGGCTGAGGTGGCTGAAGGCAGGACCAGTGGCTTGTAGAATCCACCTGCTCTAGCTCCCATGCTTCTCTGAAACACCTCTTCCCCTCCACTTCTTACTCTGCTCCAGACATCCAAGGGGCTCTCCTGCTGTACCTCCAACAGAGCCAGGGCCTTTGTGTCCAGTCTGAGGACGTTCTTGTGTTTGATTGTGTGTGTGGTTCCCATTCTTTCCTTTAGTCTTTCTCTCAATATCATGTAACTGACTAGGACTCTTGTGACAACCTTTTGAAAATGGCCATTTCCCCCTGTAGACCGACACCCACATCTAGTCTATGTCTCAACCTTCCCAGCTGGATGTCAGCTCCAGGACAGCAGTGACAGTAGTCTGTTCCTGGCTATTATCATGTCCTTGGAATCCAGACCAGTGCCCTCCTGTAGCTCACACTCTGTAAATGCTGCAGATGGATAGGTGGGTAGATGGATAGAGGAATGGCCAAAAGGACCAAACAGCATGAATCAAATGTCAGCGTAATTCTGAGGTGGGACACCCGTCCCTTCCTCTGAGAATTTCCTTCCTCCCTGTGAGGAAGAAAATTCTGTAGGGGACCTCTGATATGCCCTACTTTCCTCAAGTCCCCCAGGTCAGTCCTGGCTTAGCCACAGGATTGCCTTGGGACTCTTGTCAGTCCCCACGCTCTCTAGGCTCTGCCTGGAAACTGGTAAGAATGCATGCCTCTATACCAGATCTCATGACGCTTATTGATACCCACACCTCAGCAGGCCCCTGTAGGCAGATACTGTGCACTTGGCCCTACCTTGCAGGTGTGTCACTCGCTGTGGTTGGGGGTGATGCCGGGAGAAGAAGGAATGGTGGCTGAGGCGTCCGAAGCGGTAGGCATTGGGTGTTTGGAGCTTAGAAGCCTTCACATCCTCCTGGCTCAGCCCAAAATCCACAGTGTATGGGACCACAGACTCTTTCTGGAAGCCGGCATCCCCGTGACTCTTTGGAGAGTGCTCTGGTTTCTTCTCAGGCTCAGGTGCCGCCTTTGGACTGAAGGGGGGATGGTTAAAGAGAGGCGAATGGTGTTTTCTCTGGCTCACCAGGCCTCAGGATTCAAGTACTTATCATGGGGCCCAGTCCCGGAGGCTGCCTTCATGGCACCCCCACCCTATGCCCCCCCCAAAGTTTGGTTCCCCCAGAATCCTTTCCCAGTGATGCCAGCCGGTCCCAGTGAGCCTCTGTCTTCCTTGGTAGGGATCTGGGGCTCATCTGTCAGAGAACAGATGGGACCTCCCAGGATCCCTGCTTTCTTCCTGAGACCAGATCTAAAACCAGAAAGAGAAGCCTCAGACCCACCTAGTCACCACAACCCTAGGATGTGCCAAAAGCCCCTTATATACATTTCCCGGGGAACAAGGGCTGGCCCCACCAGGGCTTTCTCCCCAAACCAAAATTTTGGCAACCTCAAGAATTCAGCTTCAGGCTGTCACCCTCCCCTGTGTCATTCTTATCTTAGTTTCAGCGCCCAGAGGTCAGAACTAGAGCCAAGGCCAGGGCAGTCCTAGCGAGTCCTTTGCCCACGTGGTCCCTCCCAGGAGACGCGGAGCTGACTCCAAAGCGGCAGGGAGGGAAGCGTCCAGCTTTTGTCTTGTTAGGCTAGGCTGGAGACCAGTAGTCTCAGGTTCCCAACACCCCAGGCCCAGGATTTGAGGATGCTTAGCCTCGGTCCCTGAAGGAACAGGAGGCGATCGGTCTAGGGCCGAAGGTTGTCCCAGGAGGTCCTGCTCTACCACCTGCCTGGTGGTTTTCTGTACTTCCTTCCTTTTCTGGCCCTGGCAGGAGGGAGGTCCCCTGGTGCAGTGGAGGTGGGCTGGGACTATGTTAAGCAAGGCGGGCCTCCCCCGATTCCTGGGAGGATGTTGCTGAGCGGCTCCCTGTTCCAGTCTCCTTTCAGCTCTAGGCAATCTGGGACTTAAAGAAATAAAACAAACTCCTCTGAAGTGGGGGCTCATAGCCTCCTCTACTCCAAATTAGGGGAAGTCACTGGAAACTCCAGAGTACCTGTGCTGTAGCCCCCCCTCCTACATGTATTTCTGAGACCTGTGCCACTGCAGCTACCCAGGCTCTTGTGGGTGGCATTCCAAGGTGAGAAAGGGCCCTTCCTGGATCTTGGACCCCAAATTACTGAATTCCTCTAGGTCTAACTTTGTCTGTTATCCTACCTAATCTCCCGGTTGGCCCCCAATGAACTCTCTTTTAGCCTACGTGCATTTAGGTCCTCACCTCTCTAGTGGATGTTCAGCCAACTGGGTTTTCACCTCTGTAGTCATCACAGCATTTGCAATCAGAGATATTGCAATCCTAGAATCCTAATGCCAGTGTTCTCTATGGAAGGCACAGTTCTGGTAGTCTGGTAGCTGGTGTATAAACTGAAACATACAATCTGAGAGGAGAAGAAGGGGACAGTAGTATGAACACTGTATTACCCAGTAATTTCTCTCCAAGACATAAGAAAAACTCCTACAGCTGTGCAACATGGCTTGTCTGTGAAAGTAGTGCAATTCAGAGGGTCCAAAACAGCAAAAGCCCAGTACCTTTACACAAGTCTGAAAATGTGAGAGAGCCAGGGCCACATTCAGACCATGGTGCTTTTAGGAAGCAATGAACCGTAGTGGCAGCCACGGCATGGATAAATCTTCCAAACTCAGTGCTTAGTATGGTTTAGGAGAGCACATAGGTCAGTGGTTCTCAATCTGTGGGTCACAAACTTTTTGGGAGCCCAAATGGACCGTTTCACAGGGGTCATATATTGGATATTTACATTAGGATTCATAACAACAGCAAAATTACAGTTATGAAGTAACAACAAAATAATTTTATGGTTGGGGCTTACTATAACATGAGGAGCTGCATGAAAGGGCAGCAGCATTAAAAAGGTTGAGAACCACTGATTTAGAGTCTCACTACATATCCCTAGCTAGCCTAGAACTCAGCATGTAGACCAGGCCAGCCTTGGTCTCAAACTCAGAGAGATCCACTTGCCTCAGACTCCAGAGTCCTGGATTAAAGGCGTCCTCACCATGCCCAGCTTTGAAATGCTTTTTGTAAAAGTAAAAGTTCACAGGGCCAGCAAGATGGCTCAACAGGTTAGGGTACCTGCCGCCAAGCCCGGGTTTAATCCTTGCAACCTACATGACGGAAGGAGAAAACTGACTCCTTCAAGCTGTTCTCTGACCATTATGCACCATGCAAGTGCATTTACTTATCCACATATCCATCTATGCACACAGACCATACACACACACATCTTCCCTACACCAAAACCCCACGTCCATATAAACACACCACATTCATAGACACACAATGCACATGCCAGAAAACACACTCCACACACATACACCCATACACACATATCCATACACACACATACCATAAAACACACGCCTTACAGCCCCCCCCCATCCCTCTCACATACACACAAGTTTCTCAGGCAATCAGAACTATCACAACCATGAGGTCAGACAATAAAACAACTAAGGAAATTCCGCTGCTGGCATCTTTGGGTGGACAAGGAGACGGATACACAAGAGATGTTGTTAGTGGTGATCCTCTGGTTCCTGTACCGGTGGCACATTTACAACAGCCCAGTGCAGTACTGAGCAAACCCATTAAAGGAAACGGATGAAAGGTGACAGATATCATAACCTGATGAGTTATGATTACATCTATAGCCCCGATACAAGCGCGAGGGACAGGGCACGAGTGCGTTCTGAGAGGGGCCCTCAGAATGGCGGGTCTGCAAGGCTCTGAGAGGCACCTCCAACAGGGTAGGATATGATGGGTTTGCCTCATTTGAGGCTGCCAAGGACTGGCATCCTCATTCGACTCACAGGCTCCTGATCTTTTGTCTAAAAACAATGAGCAGGGCTCACTCTTCAGGAAGCTCCAGTCAGGTACCATCAGTGGCAGGGGCTGGATTCTTGAGTGCTTAGCTGCTTCATGCTTGAAGACAGGGCATTTGGAAGTCCCTCATCCACCTGCCTACAGGAAAAGGTGCTCTTTGGAATACTCTCAAATGTTTCTCACCATCACAACAGCAAGAAACCCATTTTCCTCAGGTCTGAATTCACATACGTGTTAACGTGTGTGTATGTGCTTGCATGTTTGTGTGCGTGCGTGCATGTGTGTGTGCACGCACTCATGACAGACACGAATATACTCCGAAGCAATAGCTATGAATGTGGTGTAGATGGATACTTGCATCTTATTTTTCTTTATGAATGTGATATGACCCATTAAACTGCTTCAATAAGCTTATGAGTAACTACCCATACTAGAGGGGTCAGTTGGGGACCTAGCAGGAGAGACAGACGAGGTCACTGCAGCCCACCCCTGCTTCTGACCCTAGGCTTCTTGACAGTCAGGTACAAAATATCTAGAGGTAGCCACTGATCCAACCACAGGATGTCCTCTTATCATACCTCATTCCTTTGTCCTCATCTGGAACCAGAGCTTATTTCATTTTCTGCCCTCCAGAGAGGTCCCTGAACTCACCAGGAAGATGTCTGCTACAGCATAAGAGCAAAAAGCACCTGGTGCCTGACCAGGCCCGGGAAAGAATACTAAGCAAGGGTAAGGCTTGTCAGAACTGTGGGAAGGCCTGCTGCTTTGTGACTGTGCTGCTGAACCCAGTGGTTGCTAGGTTACCCCTTCTCCACAGCTCCAGAACACAGCCCCAGGACCTCCCCACCCCCTGTGCAGTTCACCTTTACCCTTCCTGGGCAGACAGGCTCACAGAGGACTTTCTCTCATCTCTTGAAACTCCTCCTCCATTTCCTACCCGAGCACTTCCAGTGGGGACCCACACAAGCCTAATTACCTGGTTCAACCAGCCAGCAGCAGACCAAGGGAGACAATCTGGAAAAGGAATCAGGCTAGACTTGATTCTGGTCTTGCCAGCTTGACACAGCCAGATGCTGTGTGCATGGCTCTGCCTCTAGGAGCTTTGATTTCTCAGGATTAGTACTGGGGGGAGCTGCTTACCACTTAGGTAGAGGAAAGGAGACAAATCATAGGACCTGGAGGGTTCCCGTGGCTTTACCGGGCAGGATGGCAGGAAGGGGGGGTAGGGTTTTCAGTTTGTTAAGCTGCCTGCATTGCCAGGGATATGGGGTGCTAAGCACCCTCTGTTCAAATTTCATTGTGTCCTTTATTATGATGTGATCTCAGACAATATACCCAATGGCTCTGAGCCTCAGTCCCCGTATCTCTGAAAGAGAGATGGGATTCCCACTTACTGTTCCTTGGAAATTGAGTTAACACACATTAAAGTGCTTAGAATAGTATGTGGCATCAAATCTCATCTCTTAACTATCACTGTCTAGTCTGGGGTGTGAAATGAATGCCCTTGCCTACTTCCAGGCTTGTTCTGAAGAACAAATGGGAGTAAAGTGTCTAACTATATGCAAGCAGGAGATGCTCAAAAAAAGGGACTGGTGTCAAGGCAGTTTAGTCTGCAAAGTGTAAGCATAAGGACATGACTTCAATCCCCAGAAATCACATGTTAAAAAAAAAAAAAAAAGCTGGGCCATTTCACATTTGTAACCTCAGCACAGATTTAGGTAGCTTCTTGACACTTCTGGGCCGTTAGTCTAATACGCTGGCTACTTTTATGTCAATTTGGTGGAGAGGAGGGAGCCTCAATTTAGGAAAGGCCTCCTTGCTGCAGGCAAGCCTGCTGGGCATTTTCTTTATTAACAATTGATGGGCGAGGGCCCAACCCATTGTGTTTGGGGTCACCCCTGGTCTGGTGATCCAGGGTTCTATAAGAAAGCAGGTCCAGGAAACCATGGGGAGCAAGCCAATAAGCAGCACCCCCCCATGGCCTCTGGGTCAGCTCCTGCCTCCAGGTTCCTGTCCTGCTTGAGTTCCTGTCCTGATTTCCTTCAGTAAGGAATAGTGATGTGGAAGCATACGCCGTATATGCCTCTCCAAGTTGCTTTGGTCATGGTGTTTCATCATACCACTAGTAGTCATAACTGGGACATCTAACCTATTCGGTGAGTTCTAGGTTAGCGAGATATCCTGTCAAAAAAAAAAAAAAAAGAAAGAAAGAAAGAAAGAAAGAAAGAAAGAAAGAAAGAAAGAAAGAAAAAGTAAAAGTGGATGGTGCCTGAGGAATGGTGTTTATAGTTGCTTTCTGATATGCACACACACTCACGTGCACACATATGATCACCAGTTCCTGTGTAGACATGTGCACACACAAAAGAGATGTTCAAAAGCATGGTGGTGATGGTGATGATGACTACTATTGCTGGTTACTAAGCGGAAGTAGGATCTACATTGGGGTGACTTCTTTGTGCATGACTCCCTTGTGTGATTAATTCACTTAATTTCTCTGAAGTTCAACCTGGCTACATTAAAGTGGGAGCAAGGTTAATATTTTGTCCCAGGGCTGTTATGGGCCAGGAGCCGTGTGCACAGGTTCTATGAGCCAAGAAGTCTTGAATAGGCTGCTGGAAGCAGGCGTCGGAATAAGGCTGCTGACTCTCAAAACTGCTGGCATGGCTTTATGTCATGGTTGGCTCCTATCAGCACCCTGAGGCATCTAGACTCTGTGGATAGAACCTGGGGAGCAAGGAGGTTGAAATGGATAAAATGGGCAGACTGGAAGCTCTCCTAAGGCTCTGCCCCTCCCTGCTGACAGGGAAGGGGGAGATCCAGCCACCTGCTAGGGGAAGTTGGCCTCTAATGTTGCCCTTCAAAAGCTTCATCATTTACATGACTCAGAACCTTCTCTGTCTGAGAAGGGACTTTTCCTGGGCCTGTCTCAGCACAGCTCCGGTGACCCTTTGGAAGACAGCTTGAAAGCCTCTCTTGCATGTTTCTGGGCAGTTTGTCCACTAGTGAGACAGATCCTACTGTGTTTGGAAAAAAAAAAAAAAAAAAAAAAGAAAGAAAGAAAGAAAAAAAAATAAAAGAAGGCTTTTCCTCATGACCAGCCCCTCCCTGCAGCTTCCAGCACTCTGTGGGGATTTCCCACCAAATCTGTTGACACATCTAAGGAAAAACCCCCATGCCACCCATCCCACGGGTACCCTTTAATGCTTTCATTGTGCACAGAGCTGCATCAGGGTCTGCATGCTTGGTGCAGATGGAGTGGAGAAGGCAGGGGATACCTTAAGAAATGTCTTAAGCCAGAGGAAGTGGTTTAATCCGAGCACTCAGGAGTCAGAGCCAGGCAGATTTCTGAGTTTGAGGACAGCCTGGTCTTCAGAGCAAGATAGCCAGGGCTACACAGAGAAACTCTGTCTTAAAAAAAGGAAGAAGAGGAAAGAAATGTCTTAAGTACTGG